TGGGAAAGGGAGAAGAAGAGAAGCCAGAGTACATTTTATGCTACTTCTCTCAGGTCTGCCACTCTCCCCTGCCAGCCAGACCTTTATGAGTATATGCAAGGAATTACAGTTTTATTGGAATGAAAACACATTCCAGAATGCATAACAGAAAGAAGTTTTATCATTTAGTGAATTATTTTTGTCACTTGGCAAAAGAAGTCAGCTTGACAAAGTTCTCTGAAGTCATATTAGCACCAAATCCCCTCTTCTTCCCCAGGAGCCAAATCAAAGGCTTCATGCAGTAAATTGGCAACTTCCTTTATTCTTACCTGCATGGCCAAGCAAAGTGTGTTCAGCATGATGAGGACAAACATGATGTATTCAAACCCAGTGGAGTTCACCACATACCAGAACTTGTACTGATAAGGATTTTTTGGAATGTATCTACGCAGTGGACGTGCCTTCAAGGCATATTCTACACACTGGCGCTGTAAAAGCAGAAATGTAAAAAAACTGTTGTGAAAGATTCAATGGAGGCTATTAAATGAGAATACCTAGCATTTCATGTCTGACTGCTGGTATTATAAATCCCTTTATTACACCTAAAACAATCAGTAGGGAATACAACTTACTCTAAGTGCCATGTTTCAATAGGAATGTTTATTATTAAACACAGTAATCGAGTTTAGTAGCTCCCATCTGATCTTTACAGCAGTATATTAATAATATATACTGATAAGTTGCATAAGAAAAAGCAGTAAGATAATGATAAGGAAAATTCTAAGATGTTTAGCTCATATATGGTGTGTTGCATCATCAGAGGGATAACCAAAGAGCACTGATACTGATAAAGCCTATTAAACTCATCCTAACTCATCTCAACTAACAGACTTGATTTATTGATTGATAACGCAGATCTTGTCTGTTTTGGGTCTTTAGTCATCGGTGTAGCTAAAACAGTGCAAACCCATAGGGATAATACGATATGTACTGGTGCAATGTGAATCATATTGTTACAGTTTTGAAAGCTGGACTAACTGCACCAAAAAAATCATACTTCAGAGGTGTAAACTGTATCCAAGATGAGGGGTTTGTACCAGCCCAGGTCCACTGGCTTCTGAATTCTTCATGCAGACTGGGCTTCAAAATGATCAGACTGTAACCATTTGAAGAATCTCAACATAGCCATTTCAGAAAATACTACTGAGTTCTACAATCAGAGAATTTAAGCACATAAGAAAGGATAGATTATTTTTTTCTGAATGTGTAAATCATAGCATATGTCCACTAATGAATAGGAAACAATGGCAAAGTAATCTACTCTAAGCAAATTCCATGGTGTGGCTATTCTAGGGTACTCTGTGTGTGTGTAAAATACATTTCATATCTCCATTTCTGGCATCAAGCCCAGTCTGTAACTGTTCTCTTTTCCTTGGTGTGCACTAGAATATTACATATCCTAGGAAAAAGACCAAAATGTTAGGCTTTCCCAGAAAAGGGCCACAGAATAATTTTGACTTTGACATTTAGAGAACCCAGTCTTTGCACTGTGTAATTTTTGTGTCTACTGCCCTCTTCTGACCCATAGGAGAATGCTGGTTTTGTGTATGGCATAAAAAAAAAGTAGATAACTTTATAAACAAAAAAAAAATTTATATATTTTAACCTGATTTTTATCCAGCTCACAGTTCTTGTACTCTTGTTCTCCCTGTTCTTGGAAGGTAACAATGACAAAACCGACAAATATGTTCATCATAAAGAAGGCAATGATGATGATATATATGATAAAGAAGATGGAAATCTCCACTCTGTAGTTGTATATTGGGCCTACATTCTCCCCATTTGAGTCTATGGCTTTGTATAGTAATCTGGAAAACAAAAAAGCAAAGTATGTTAACTGTTGTTATAATGCTAAAGTCTGCAGATTGTAATTTCACTTAGCCACTGGATAGTTATGGAAAATCTGGTCTACCTTACTTGAAGCCATCTACCAAAATTTCACCAAATGGACAAAAGCTTTATATAATAACCTTATAACATATAACAACATTTAAAAGGAGTAAAACATCTCAGAGGATTATTTCTATTGTAGTCAAAGTAACTGAAAGAGCAGGCATTAACCAGTATAAGATTTCACTGATTTCAACAGAAACAAAAGTATGTGAAAAACAAGAAGTCAATACTCAAACCATCAGTCATTTAGTGCTCTAAAGGATCCAAACTTGATTGATATCCAATCTTGTGCCAATACTTTTAAAGCAAAATTCTCTTTGCCAACAAAGGAAAGCTCAATTATTTAGCAGTTCTGAAAACCAACCTGGCTTCGTGTGTATTGCAGATGGACTCGCAGTCACTGAGTTCTGCTTAGCAAAGTAAAGTCAGAAAATTAAAAATTAGAACTGGAAGCCTGTTCTTGAGCAGGAAGCACCCACAGGTCCCTAAAAGGCTAAAAAGCCAGTAAATTGCTGATGGCAAAATGGCTGGAATACGCTGTCCAAAGATTACCCCAAACGCACTTTACAATTAAAGTCCCTCCTTCACTAATTTTTGCTGCTCTGAATTGTAAATGGCAAACTTAGCTTCATAAGCAAATAGGTGAAGAAAAACAGAAGCTTACTATAGTCACTGACAAAGTAAAAGATGGAGTTGGAAGGGGGAAGTGTTACAACCAGTACTATGGTATCAAAATCAGATTTATCAAAATGTCAGCAGCCTTGCCTTGATCTCCCTTTCTTTAGTGGGAATGAGGCCTTTCCTCAGAGGAAAACTGATCCTGCAAGGTGCTGAGTGCCACAATTCCCCTTGGCACAGCTGGAAGTAAAGAAAACTCAGCAATTTCCAGGATCAGGTTGAGAATCTCCAGGGTCCACAGAGCACGGATGCTTGTGTATGGACAGTGCCAGGATACAAAGCAGCCCTGAAAAAGTAATTTCAGTGGTGTTATGGAAACATTCACAGTTCACTTACGCTGGCCAGCCTTCAAAGGTAGAAACAGTGAAAAGGGCCATCATGGCAGACAGCACATTGTCAAAGTTGAAATCACTATTTTGCCAAACCCTTTCTCTAACCACTGGATTGTCAACATCTCCATCTTTATAAACAATGTATATCCCCCTGTGGAAAAAAAAATAGAAATTGTGATATGGGAAGCATTAAATTATTCTCAGAATGATGCAGTTCTTTTCTAGAAATATCTGATCTTTGTTATCAGTTAATGAGTGTTAGTTTGCTTATGACACCAAAATCACAGCTGGATTTTAGGATGTTGATTCAGACTTACAAAAAACCTAAATGGCCTATGATCTGCCTATCTGTGTTAGTTATAATGCTCAGAGGCTTCTGG